AATATAAAAATTAGTACAAGTACAGTACAAGTACAGTGGTAATTTTATCTAGTACATACAAAATTCCCAACCCTGACCGTAATGTTTCATAAATCTTACGATACCGTAACCCTATGTAAGATTTTGACCGTAATATTATGTAAAAAATACGACTTGTAACCCTACGTAGGATTTCACCGTAATGTTTCGTATATCATAAGATTTTGACCGTAATAATACGTAAAAAATACGACCCGTAACCCTACGTAGGATTTCACCGTAATGTTTCATAAACTTTACAAACTCGTAAACTCGCGTAGTTTTACAACATAATACTCTGAAATATTACGAAAATCGTAAATCTACAGAATATTACACTGCATTTAAGTTCTAGATGGAGTAACCAGGACATTTAACAAGACTTTCTAATCCTATATCATTAGTGATTAAACTGAAGTGACATATATCAGCTCAATATGTAGGTGTTTTCTAGTAATTTGCCATAAATATTAGTATTGGTGAGCGGATTCCAAAAGGTGACATATTCTTTTTTAGTATTAGAAGGATTGATATCTAAATCATAAATTGACATAAAGGAAGAGTTATCATCTAATTTATATTCTAATTTAAGAGATCTATCTAAAGGATTAAGAATGACTAGATTAAAAATAAGTCTATCGAAAAATGAAGAATCTATTCTAGCAGATTTTGATAATAAAACAGAAAAGCGAAGTCTAATATCTTTTCAGTTGAGAAGATAGCAACCATCTAGTAAGATAAATTGATCCAAAAAATATAGTTGTAATCTTTTAATAATATTAAAATTCTGTTTGAAGATAGCGTAAAAAAATAATTGGTAAAAGGGGTATAAATCTCTTATTATATGATTACTCAAAAAATCTGTGACCATAGGTTTAAAACCAGAGGCAATTGTATTGATGATGCTAAGTTAAGCGCCAATTAGATTTTTGTGAGAAGAACAGTTATAAGGATATTTTCATAAATGAAGCAGAGATGAAAGGAGGAGGTTAAATGATTGTAGTTGGAAGAGGTGAATTGTAGATACATTAAAATAAAGATCTGTCAAATTAGGAGAGCAGTTGTGAAGGATTTGATTTGAAGGGACCAAAGATCATGAAGGTTATAATATTTGTTGCTATTTAAAATGGCAGTTGGAATTATAATAGCAAAATCAGACTTTCTTTTAAAGAGAGTTCTAATAGAGCCAAAGTAAACATTACATTTACATTCAGAAAGAGGTGTACATTGCAATCTGTATTCTAGAAGTGGGCAAAGGACTGCATTAACAATGTATGCAATTTGTTTATCTGTGAGAGGCTTAGGTTTCATAATAGCAGCAAAATTATTGATATCTTTACAACTTGATTTTTAACAAAAGTTTGAGAGTTCGAATGATTGATCCAAATTTTTAGAAATCTCACAGCATTTAACTCAGGAGTGATATTAATAGTGGAGGAACCAAAATTGATGTTGATAGTTGAGGATGCAAAAGACTTTGTTGTGATAAGCTTTAATTTGGATTTGTTCAAGACAGCCCTAGTTAAATCATAAAAATCATCGGCTATTGCAAGAATATCTTTTAAATTTTGTTGAAAGTTGGCAATCCAGTTAGTATCATCCATAAAGGCCAAGGATAATACAAATTCAGAAAGAGTTATAGAGGTATTGCTGATTATGTTATTAGTCCATGTATGAGATATTTCGTATCCTTTGTTTAAAGCATTTACTTCACATAAAAGAGGATCAAGATAAATACACCATAGTAAAGAAGAAATAACTTCTCCTTGATCAATACCAATTTTGATATCATAGTAATCGGTAAGACCATCAGCTATAAAAATTGCATTTTTCCTATTAGTGAAGAGGTTAATGATTAGATTTACACACTTAGAGGAATTTGATACATTGTAAGGCAAGATGAAGGAATTTTAGATCAACATGATCATATGCCTTGAAAAGGTCTTGCAATAAAATCCAAAGCTCTTTTTTGTTTTCATTAGCATCTTCTAATAACATATTTAGAATTTTGATCAGTTTTTCTATTGAACCACCAGGTAAACCAGCAAAGTTGTTACCTTTCAGGACATGATGATTGGTGAGAATTTTTGAGAGTCAATTTGTAACAACTTTGACAAATGCTTTTCTTAATGTTTCTAATAAGGTGATCGGATGGGTCTTTGTGATATCACATTCCCATTCCATTGGTTTAGAAATTGGATATACATGTGCAATTTTCCATTCACTGGAAGTATCACCAATGATGAAACAAATGCAGATTAATTGCCAAACTAAGTGCTTGAATTTATCGCCTAAATGTTGAAACATTTCGTTATGAATATCTGAAGGTCTAGCAGTTTTGCCTTTTGCTAAGTGTGAAAGAACTGAGCACCATTCATTATATGTAGGAGGTTGTATAAGATTGTCATAAATATTCTCAGATATGTAATCCTTTGGCTGATATTGTAAGAGCTATCTACCATCCAAGGATCTTAGAAGTGTCGATGGTAATGCATTATTTGGAAGTGATTGATTGCAACTTTTTTAATTTCATTAGGATCTAGGGTGAAGTATTTAGAACCATCATTATTGTTGACAAAGACTCGATCCAAAGTAGTTTTTCTCTTTTTTCTTTGCAAAATAGAGTCTATCATTTTACCAGGTTGAGACCTAAGTTGATTGCATCTTTTTCCAATAAGTGATTTAATTTGTATATTAGTGTTTTTCTTGGCATCTAATTTAGTGAGCTTAAATAAGACTTATAGATGCAGTTTAGAGTTTTTTTAACTTCTCTAACATTTGATAAATTTAAAAATTGAGGTAAAGGGTCTAAAGGATAGGAAATATCTTTAACAATATTTGCAACAATATTGAGATCATATTTCTATTCTTCACCAATAGGTCAAAGCTGTTCTCTTAGCCTTTTGGACTGAAATTTTAGAAGAATCTTTTCAATTTTAGTGAGTAATAGATAGTATTGAGAAAGATCTTTTGGTTTTGATGCATGGTCTTGTGTAAAGATCCATTTGTGAGGAATTTTTAACTTACTAATATCCAAAACAGCTTTTTTCAACTCTATCTAAAGATTATTCATATTTGCATGATTGGATGGAAGATCTTTTAAGCGATCAAAATTGTGGTTATTGTAATAAGTATTGGAATATTTAGCAAATCTTGTCCATTTTGTGGAATCCATAGATTTGAGAAGAGGAACTTTTCTTTTGGTATTATTGTTTTTTGAATGAGATTGAGATTCATGTTGAATGTTAGAAAAATAGGCAATAACAATCTCGTGATCAGATTTGTATAAATATGAATGAACTATATTACAATAAAGAAAGTCAGCTACAAGATTCTGAGAGGCAAAGATTGCATCAATGCGACTGGAAGTATTCGATCTTTTGAATGTAGGTAAGGGTGTATCATGACAAATGTCATATAGGTTCAAAAAGTTTCTAAGTACAAGACTATGTACAGATTATACTTCCAAGGAATGGTTTTACCAGAATTGATGAGGCGTTATAATTTGATCAGATTTGCATTAAAGTCATCTATAATGATAATATAAAAACCAGACTGTAGGCTATTATCAATAAGTCATAATAATGTTGTTTGTAGGACTTTTCTTTCCTTACATTCAGTAGCATGGATATAAATTGAGAAAACTCTTAGTTTGATATTTCCTTTTAAATAGAGATCAACATAAATATAACGATCATTATCCAAGAATTTTTTAGCAATATGCTTTGACCAGGATTTGCTGATAAGTAGACCAATACCTAAGAACTTATTAGAGACAGAACTCTACAAAGTATCAAAAAAGGGATTAGAAGAACATCTAAAAGATTGTGAAGATTGATGCCAAGTTTCCGATAAAACAACAAAATTAACATTCTTTTGGTGAAAAGTATCTAGTATCTTGCTATTTTTAACATCATCACAAAGAGAATATACATTATGAGTAGCAAAGGTGAGGGTGTTTCTATTGAAGATTAATTCTCTATTATCACTATGTGAATTTTCTAAGTCGTTGTCTATAATAAGGGTGAGTTGATCACGTGATAAAAGTAAATTATAAGAAAGGGAAGCATTATTATTAGGAAGAAATTGATTATTATTTTTAATTAAATTTGTGGGAAAATGTTAGGTAACAGAATATTATTCGTTGTATTAATCATTTTAAAAAATGTAAAAAATAGGTGAATCTAATTTTAAGATTGGCTAGCATTCATTGCAAATTGTTCAATTTGTTTGAACATTCTGTCTATCTGTCTTTTTTGTTCAGTAATAATAGCAGCTTGTTCATTCACTATATTAGTAAGGTCAGGTTTTGGGGTCAAAATTGGTGAGGGTAAAGAGTCATCACTTGAAGATTCAGCAATGTGAGATCTTTTATTAGACGTATCTTGTGGTTTAGGTGAAGGTTGAGAAATGTGTGAACCTGTTAATGGATCTTTTCCTTTACTAATAATAGTCGAAGGAATTACTGTAGACGTAATTGGAGAAGAAGCCTGAAGAGATTCCAGTTTAGCGATTCTAGCATCCAGTTCATTCATATCCTTTTTCATATTGGAGAGAATTGAGAGAATCTGATCCAATTT